TTTTTTTTCTTTTTGTTGTTGTTGTTGTTAATTTTCCTATTTTTCTATATTTTTTTGTTGTTGTCAATTTTCCTATTTTTCTGGGTTTCTGGGTTTGTAGATGCTGGCTGGAGGAGATAGAACTGGGGAGGGGGACGATACACCCTATTTCTTGGTGCTAATGGTTGGAAATAACTTGCTTCTGTCAATAGAGATTGAAGATTGGGTAGCAATGAAAGAAAGGGGCAGCGAGGCAGAGCCATTGAACATATAAATGATTGTGAGCTGACAGAGCACCACACTTGAGAGGTTGAAGACAACGGCCTGGGTTGCTGCTTCAATGTTTTTTTTTTGGGGGGTTCAATTTTCTTCTTTTTCTTCAATTTTTTTCTAAAAAATAATTTTTTTAAATGATTTAACTGAAAATTGGATGAAATGTTAGGAATTTAGACGGCAGGGGGGAAATTGGAGAAAAAAAAAAGTTCATATCCTTAATTTTCTAAAAAAAAAGAATAGGGGGCTAATTGAAAATTAGGTACAAGTTTATGGGGCAAATCACTAGTATACCCTATCTTTAATTACAACAAAAGGGAAAGAGATGAAGTGGGTAGGCCCCTCTGTTTGTTAAAATAATTATATATATTATTTCAACATTTAAAATGACCAATTTTCCCTCATATTTAACAACAAATTGGATGAAATGTTGAGATTTAGACAGTAGGGGGGAATCGAAAATAAAATTTAGTTCGAATCCTTAATTTTTGAAAAAAAAGGATAGGGGGTAAATTGATAATTAGGTACAAGTTCAAGGGGTAATTCGGCAGTTTACCCGTTTTTTTTATCTCTTACACTACATCTGTGTGTATGAACTAGAGGGTGTCTATTTTGGTACCTTGTGAAGAATCTATGAAGCAAGCACCAAGGAAGAATGCCTTTATAAAAGTGAAAACTTGGAGACAATCCAAGAAAGCTTCAAGGGTAAGAAAGCTTCATCATTTCCTCCCTTTTCGTTTGGGCATAGATGAGATTAAACATAAAAAGATACTGGGAAATTGGATAGCATCAGGCTTAGTAAGAACAAAAATTTGCTTCCGCCTCTTTATATATTTGATTCATGTATGTTGTAGCCTAAAATCCAGTGAGTTAAAATTTAAATGCATGTTTCCTTCATAGTTAATACGTGATAATGTCTTGAATTAGTGTTGCTCAGTTAATTAATTAAGGGTAATTATCTCTTAGGTATATTTTGGGAAGTAGTTGCTTGTCGGGTCGAGGGTTCTGCTCCGATCTTCAAGTTTCAAAAAGTGATTTGACGTCCCATCATTCCTTTTGCTTTGTGCTCTAAGGTGTTATTGAGATGGTGCACGTGAAGGCTCAAAGGAGTTTGTGCCTACTAGTCTTCTCGGCTGTGAAACCATCGGGCCATGACTAGTAAGTTTTTACTTTCGCTATTGGGCTGCAGCTTTGGGCCCAATTTATGACCAGGGTCAAGCCTTGTTTCTTGGGCCGAGCTTGTTGTGCCACAAAGTTGAGGTCCATCCCTTTAATTTTAGCTTTGGGTCTGGTTACTTTTGCTTTTAGGCCCAAAATTCGGCTCGATGGGCTTATGCCACGTCATCTCTTCTCGTTTAGTTATGGAAAAAGAAAAACAATTTCCAGTTAAAGAAACAAATAGATTTTAAAAGGAAAAAAAACCACAACAGAAGACAGGTTTTCAGTTGCTGTGGCAGCTTTCAATTGGCCACTGGATCAAAGAGCCGAAGACATCGTAGCAGCGAACCCAGACTTCTTTCAAAACCTCCCTTGGGAGTTGAGTGAGACAGAGACAAAAACCCAGAGAAAAAGGTGACTGGCATCACTCTCGTCTCACTCTCATTTCACATCAGCTTGGAATTTAAAATCTCCAGTTCGACAGAGATGGAAGTTTTTCGTACAAGAAAAAGAGAACCAATGAATTCTCTATCTGTATTCACTCATTCTGAGGTAAAAAAATTTGATCCCTTTTTGTGTTTCCTTCAATTCGTACTGTCAACTACCTGCCTCTGTGATTTCACATCTTAATGTGCAGAAATTTCCTCGGTTTTGCTATAAATTCAGCTGCTGTCATGGGTTTTTTTGTTTTCTATAATTGGTTATTTTCTGTATGAAGATTGTTGGTGTTGGACTTTTGCTTCTTATGGAAAATTTAGTTTTGTACCATAACACTCTAACCACCTTCTAGGTGCATTTTTTTACTACTGAATTCTTGGAAATATAATCAGACCAAAAGAAATTATGGGATTTGATGTGAAAGGTTGAGGCTTTCTCTCACACCTGTGTGTGTTTTCGATTGGCTGTTATGTATAACACACTGTCACCTTAACATATATATTATATATGTACATAAGCTTACATCAAGGTGGGTTGAGGAGAAATGGTTTTCCATGAACAATTAATTGGGATAAAGAGCATGTGGCTGAAGTACTCCTCATGCTTTGGGGTTGGAACAATAACAGGAGAGATTAGTCAAAGAAGTAATCTTAGTCTAGGGAGCTCGCCTCCATGCATTGACTCTGTAATATTGTCTTTTGAAATTCTGTATTAGATATTGACTATATTTTGCACTTTGACAGATTATGGAAATGGAAAATTTAATTAAGCATGCAGGACAACAGTCGCTTAGTCAGGAGTTTTTCCAAGATCTTGCAACGAGTTTCAGGTGATTTCAGTAATGCTAAATAGTAGCCTTTAGCCTTAATTAGGTAGACAGATTTGTTATATTTACTTGTCAAAGGAAAAAAACGAAAAGAATAACTTCTTAGTGTTAAATATTCATTGCATACTTCAACATAACGGGGTTTCTTTTATTAAGTTTTTTTTGCTTTGCTCTGTCTTTTCAGTTGCACTCCAATCCGTGCTGGAAAACCTGATATAACTTGGGAACAGGTTTTTCATTTCTTTTTTCCTTTTCCCCTCTTGCATCTAAATCTTATTGTTTATATTTTATATGGAGCTTGTTGTAATGCTATCATGTTCTTATTTTGTTATAGGTTCAAAGTTGGTTCCAGAACAAACAAAAAGAGTTGCAAGCCAATTGCAATTCCTCACCTACTGCGCTCGAGTTATTTGTTGATCTTTCAGATTCAAATGTTTCAAGCAATGCAACTGAAAACTCTCAGAAGCCGAAAGGTCATCCTTTTTGTCAGTATGGATAAAGTTGTAGAAGAGATTGTCATGAATGTATTTTAATGATTTTTTCCTGTGATGAAAATTTTAATTTTATCATGTAGTGAGAATTATTTCTATGCTAGCATCAAATTGACATAAATAAAATTTAATGATGCAAATTACTGTTAATTTCTTTCCATTCCAGATTAGAATGCACCAGCTTGGATCCTTTCAAAAACCATTGTAGCATGTTGGTGCTACCTTGG